TCCACTCCAAAATTTTCAAATGCTCGTGGTTTTGCAAACAAATTGTAACCGAAGACAGACATGGGTGTCAGAGCTGTCGCCGTTGGAAGGTGACATGATCGCAGCCGTCCACTCCATCGGCCGCTGGCTAACCAACCAACCCCGTCCGCCGACATGCTGCTGTCCGCCTCCTGCCGACTTGTTCTTGTCTTCCTCCTATGCTCTTAACTCTGAATTTTGTTAAGAGATAGAAGGACCTGTAGTAATTATTTATCAATAAAATTTTATCAAATTTGTCATATCAAACATCTCGCCACATATTTCCCACAATCAGAGCCCTTTGAATCGTAGGAATGAAAAAACGGAGAAACAGAACAAATATAGGATTCTGACAGGAATGTAAGTGTAAAACAGTGGATGCAAAACACAGGAATGATCGTTTGATTGGATCACAGGAAAAGCACAAGAATCGAATGAAAGAGATAGACTCAAAGAATTCTTACCAAGAGGTTGACCTCTTGCTAAGTTCCCTTCAAAACCTATATGCAATAAGCCATTCCATAGGAATTTTGTAGGATTTGAAAAACTTCAATCATTTGAATCAAAGAGCTACATAGGAAAATTTCCTATAGGATTTCAATCCTATGAAATTCCTTTGATTCAAAGGGGCCCTCAGTTTATTGGAACGGGATCTTGTCACAACTAATGCTCCGTTCGTTACCAGGGGTTCCCAACCTCCCTCCCTCGTTTTTCGCGTGCACGCTTTTCAAACTGCTAAACGGTGCGTTTTTTTGCAAAAAAAAAAATTCTATACGAAAGTTACTTAAAAAATCATATTAATCTATTTTTTAAAAAAAATAGTAAATACTTAATTAATTACTCCCTCCATCTACTTTTGATAGTCATATTTCCAAATCTGAAAATTTTATTTTTGATAGACATATTTCAATCCAACAACTTATCATCTTAATGACTTTCTTGGATTTAATGCATGACTCTTCATTCTTCCACACATGATTGGCTACATGGGCATTGAGAAATGTAAATATTAATGAATCGTTTGTTTACGAGGAATGACTAGTAGCATATTTAAATGGATGATAAGTAGAATTACTTATCCTTGGTCTGTGTGCCAAGATGAAATATGACTATCAAAAGTAGATGGAGGGAGTATATAATAATAGGTGCTTTGTTTTGCGTGCCGGGGAGGAGGGGTTCCCAACCCCTCCTCCCGAACACAGTCTAAGTGCTTCTAGCTATGAAGTTAGGCATGTATTTGTCTTTGTACTGTTAGGCATGTCTTTGTACTCCGTATATAGTTGGCATTATTCTTTTTGGATGAATGGTGTATGTTGTAACCAGGTATATTTCTCTAAGGGTCCTTTGAATCGCAAAAATAAAAAACTGAGGAATAGATAAAAAAACATAGAATTTTGATAGAAATACAAGTGTAAAAGATATGATTAAAAACACAAGGAAGATTGTTTCATTGAAGACAAATAAACGCATGAATCAGATGAGAGACTCAAGAAAAATTTCCCATGAGGTTTGACCTCATGTAAATTTTCCTCCAAAATCTCTATCAAATTATTTCATATAATTTTAAAAGACACATAGAATTTCATAGATTTTTTTATAGGATTGAAATCCCCAATTTTTTTTATATTTTTCAAACTAATTAAGGGCTTCTATGCGTTAAACTTGATTAACATAGGACATGACAGATTGTAGCAAGTTGTTACCGGCAACTAATCAGACCCAAAATGCCACTAGAATTCGCCTCTCCAGTTTAATTAGGATCAAATACTAGTAGCACTAGTTTACAGTACACTTCAGTCCAACAAAGCGACATGTATCATTTTGAAACTTTTTTTTAATTGAAGACCCAACATATTATTACTTGGGTGTGATTTCGACATGAAACTAACGATTATTTTGGTCTATATGATTATAATCGGTTGCTTCTTCTCCAATCCGTGTCCAGCTTTAGTTCTCACTCGAGCTGTCGTGATATAAAAATCAGCTGGATTGTTAGAGCAGAACACCCGTTACTAAAAAACAAGGGCAATTTTCTTTTTTCGTCCAAGAAAAAACACGAAACAGAAAACCGAAAGGAAAGCGACAGCAATCAGCATCCGATGCATTTTCTTAACTAGATGCGATTGCGTATCGTCTATGTTAATTAAAGTGAGAAGAAAATCAAATCCCGTCATTAGGCGGCGAAAAACGAGCGTCATTTGATTTTTGTTTTTTGTTTTTGTTTGTGTTTGGCGTAGCCGTGTGGTGTTTCCAACACGATATCATTATCAAAACTAGTGCGTTCTGCTCCGCCGTCACGAGCTGAAGATATTGACCTGACCTGCAGGATCTCAATCTCTTCGGTGCCCGGCTGGCTGCGAAAAGTTTACTTTCTGGCAAGCATAATACTCCGTTCTTCCCAAATTAATCATTACATAATAAAATTTAAAATTTCTCCAATTGATCGTCATATAACTGAATGGACAAAGATTTTATCAAAATACAATTAATACATGATGGGAGAATATGTGCATGCTAAGATACAATTAGCATAGTGTTTTAATCGATGCATGTATTGTGGAAGAATATGTGCATGATGTTTTAATTGATATGATTTAATTATCCTTAGTCTTGGTGCATAAATATATATGATGATCAATTTATGCATACTATTAGTACAGTATATTCCTTCCTCGGTTTCAAAATATAATAAACTTTTCTTTTAAAAAAAACAGATTTTATTCTAAATATAACAAGATGTAAATGTTATTTTTGCCACTAAATTACCCATACTACACGTACTATTCTTTGACTTTATTATAGTCCGGTCATACACCTCGCCGTTTCAAGAAAGCAAATAAGTATTTTTACTCTTTTTAATACTCGTGTAATCGTATAAAAATTATTATATTTTTAAACGGAGCAAGTACTAATACTATAGTGGGTTTGTTGTTTGCTTCAGCTATTTTGCGACAACCATCTTCTAGCGGCTGCAGAGAAGTTGCAGCCGCAACAATATGCTACTATAGTTGAAATATTCAAGAAATCGTTCGGCATTTAAATCGAGCAACGTCAACAAAAATGCTTCGGAAGAAAAAAGAACAATAAAATGCCGCATATGCTGAACCTGAAGGGAGAGAATATATCAGATCTTTCATTAATTGCAATGGAAATGTACCAGTACTACTCTCCCTTTTTTAAAAAACTTTTAAGAAAGATTTCAAGTACTCCATAAATGCAAATATGCTCAAGTGTATACACTTTCGGCACCATCATTTCGTTTATACGTTGAATAAGCCAAACGGTATATTTGCGAACAAAAAGTAATTTATGAATAGAATTTTTATATACGTGTTCTTTAACATTTTAAAAGCAAAAGCTGAAAAATAAACTTCGATGAAAGAAACCCCAAAATCAGTTTCAAATTTAAAGTTGAAAATTTAAATTTTAGCTGATAAGTATAAGATGATGCATTTTTTTCCATGGCCACACATGGGACACAGAGATAGTGAACACAGATGATCATAGCTGGGAACTTTCAACGCCACAAGTGCAGTGCTTCGAACTTTGAAGCAGCCAAGAGAGCCCCCCCAATGCTGTCCATTCCCTCCATATTTAAACGCACCCCCCGACGTGGTACACACATGACACTGACGGTGGGCCCATACCTAACCGCCGCAGAACTGGGGCCCACCCGGCAGTCACCCGTACAGTGCTAACGCAAGTAGAGCAAGCTCCTCGAAGCAACAGCACAACTGCTGCATGAGTGAATCATGGCCGATGAATGAAATGAATGAATATGATCTGTTTGGATTTATTTTTTGGGGGGTCAAAACAGCCGCAAAAATAGTTTATAGTGTTCACACAAAGCCTGCTCATTCTTACTCTGAACTTGAATTTGGAATCCATCCACAAGAATGGACCGGATTGACTTCTATCCACCGAAATTCAGCCGTCCAAGGTCATTCATTTGGACCCCAACTCCCAAAGGGTGGAACTCAAGTTTCCTTCCAAGTTCCAAGAAGCAGCACAAAGGTACTCCCGCGCTAATAAACGGTGTGATTTTTTAAAAAACTTTCCATGTATAAATTTCTTGTCAATTTTTTTATATCAACTTTATAATTATTGATTCATTTATTTGTACTCCCTTCGTACTCGTAAAGAAAGTCGTTATGGACACAACAGAATTTTGACTTATTGTTTCTATAAAAATATTTATTAAAAAGTTATATATGTATATTTTTATGAAAGTATTTTTCAAGACAAATCTATTTATATAAATTTTATATTTTCAAACTCGACAACCTAATAGTTATTCATGATTTATATTCCCAAAGTTTAGCTTAAATATTGTTCTAGACGACTTCCTTTACGAGTACGAAGGAAGTGCCCTCGAATGGTCATTACAAAATCTTTTGGATATTCAACCATTTTAGGGCCGCATCAATTGGCCTAATAAGACAAAGCAAAAGCTAAAATTTGAATTTTCGAAGTTAATTTTAAGATATTTTCAACGTAATTTGTTTTCAGTATTGACTTTTAAATCGCTATGAACAAATGTATTAAAAAAATCAATAAATTATTTTTTATTTTTAACAAGACAAAAAGACTTACGGAGAGTATGGTCCTACTATTTTTGACAGTGTGATCTTGACCATAGGTAACTTCATAGTTAATTTTTCCTGGCATCAACTAGAATTTTGAATTTACCAAGAAACTTTCACTTGAGGCTATGTACAGTCTGATACGTTGGCGTTCCAGTCCAAGTCTTCGCAGGGGGGACAAGCTACGCTGAATTCAGCGAAAAGACAGACCCCAAAAGGTCTTTGAGCCTGAAAAGCAGGGCGCAGAGACCCAAAGTAGGCAGCAAACATCCTCATTCCGATGGCAGGGTAGAAAGCAATTTGCATTTCAACCGAGGAAACACCAACACAAACAGCAAATTTAGGGGCTCAAGATCAGGATCGGTATTGCAGAAACTCATCTCGGATTGGCAGTAGCACTATCTTTACAAGTTTTTTTGACAAACCACTAGGAAAAAAAAACCAGCCATCGTGATCAAAAGGTTAAAAGAGAGTGCAAACCAGCAACACAGCTCTCAAGAAGTGTTTGTGGTGTGTGTGTGTGGCACTGGAAGCAAGTTTTGAAGGAAAGCCTTATTGCTGTTTATGTACTTGGCTGGACTAACTTTAGCCGAAAAAAGAAGAAAAATTTGGATGGAATTGGGAGATGGGAGTCTATGATCCCTTGGTGCTGGATGATGGAATTGGTGCCTCATCTTGACCAATTCCGGTTGTTGTTGAAGTTGCTGTTATTCCTCGGCCTGCCATTAGGCTGCCAATTCCGGTTCGCTTGTTTCGGCAAATTTTGTGGATCCACCATTTGTATAGTTCTCTGCTTCTTTGCTGCATTTACACAAAAATATAACCATGACTCGTCGCATATAGAAACTCAAATCAATGAAATTTACTGATCAGCAAAAAATAGTAGTAGTACTATAATATTCCAAACAGAGGACAAGATATTGTGGTTCAAGTAAACAAATTCCATGATCCAGTTGATGTTGCAACAAGTGATAATAGACCCAATTTCATGGCGGAACACATACCGTTATCAAATTCTTGGTAGCCTTCCTGAAGTTTTCTCTTTGTCACCTCTAGCTTTGCACTATTCGTGAGTTCAAGCTTTGCATTCTTCGCGAGTTCTAGCTTTGCCCGAACTGAATTTTCATCGTGATGGCTCGCCGATTTCTACAGCCATGGCAAAGAATTAAGACCTCAAACAAGCATTTGCATCAATCAAATAAGCATGTATATTTTGTCGATAAAGCAATATGCTCACATCAGATGGCATAGGTTGCGATCTGCCTTGAGCTGGCGAGGCATCTTGATGCTGCTTAGTCCTCGGTTGAGGTCGCCCAGGACCGGACTCTGGGTTTGAGGGCCTTGCAAGCATCGCCGCGATGAATTGCTCTCTCGTCTGCCCATTGCTCAGTTCCTGTGGTCTCGACTGCCTCATCGCAGATTGTTCTTGCTTCCAGCTCTGGTCTGGATCATATTGCTGGGCCATTGGCGGCAGCGGCCTTCTAGCTGGTTCTTGATTCCTTGTATACAGCCGGCCATTATCCCTGCCGCCATTGCTCCTCGTGTCTACAGATAATCCACAAAACAATCAAGATGTCAAACACCAGCTAAGAAGCCAACAACCATCACAAAAAAATATTGAACAAGGGTCTGATCACTCACTTCCATCATCATCCATACCATCGAAGAACTTGGAACCTTGGTTTTCCTGAGGAAAACTCAGAGGGAGCTGTGTCAGATCATACCAACCAGATATGATTTCGGATGGATGTGCCGACAATTCCAATTACCTCAGATAGGCGGATGGAAGTGCTCGGCGTAGCGAAGAGAGCGCCCTCATCCATGGAAGGAGAAGAGAGCCCCCGTTCATCCTGCTCCAAGCCAGAGGGATGCATGGATTGAGGAGTATGATCTGTGTATCATATCATTGCAGAATGCTTAATTCTCTACTAAATCATGATACAGAGGTTGAAACTTAGAAACGATGAACTGTTCTTGCTTGCTTCCTACCTACAATGGCGTCGCGGCTGCTCATCCACTCATCGACTATGCGCTTCCAACCTCTGCATTCGATTCGCAAACAAACATGTCAACGAATGCAACTGGCTAAGAAAAACAAATTCGATTTGAATATGAACAATCCAAGACGAGATGGGAACACATGGCCATACTCGATGAGCAATCGAACAAGGTGACGAATCTGCTTGGAGTTGTGCTTCCGGTAGCTGCTCACCGCCTTCCCAATCTCGGTAACCTGCAAAGACGAATCCGCATGAACACACTAGTCAACACATGAGCTTGGTTTGGCATGGCTGCGGCGGCGGCGGCGGCGGTCTCACCGTCAAGGTGTCCACCGTGAGCTCCAGCTGCTGCAGTCGCCGGAGCAGCTCGAGCAACGTCGCCTCCGACTGCATCAACATGGCAGAACAGATTCAGTACGAGAAGTGGAGGATGGTGAGAGAGAGAGGAGGAGGAGGAGGACCTTTTCTTGGTCGTTGAGGAGGATGGCCTTGATGCGCTCGGTCTCGGCGGCGACGGGGTCGTCGTCGCGGCGAGGGACGGCGCCGTCGTCGGTGATGACCTCGGCGCGGTCGGAGCTACAGAGGCTAGGGACGCTGGCGGCGCCCTCGGGGTGGAGGAGGAGCTGGGCCGTCGGCGCGTCGGCGGCGGCGGCGCCGCCGCCCGCGGGGGGCCCCGCCGGCGGCGCGCCGGGGACCAGGTGCGCCGTGTAGAGGCGCTCGGCGATGGCGTCCCGCCTCGACCGGAGCGCGGCGGGGTGGTCGGACGCCGCGACGGCGATGGCCGCGTCGATGGCGTCGAAGATGCTGTCCCCGGCGCCGCGGAAGAAGCCGAGCCAGTAATCCATCGACGGCGGCGCCATCGCCGGCCGATCGCCGCCGATCGATCCGCCGCCAAGAAACCACAGATTAATTTACGTTCTCTTTCGATTCGATTCGATTTGATTCTGTTCTTCCGTTAAAAAAAAAAAAAACAAACCCCCAGAGAAACTCCTACAGATTGCCACTCTGCGACGCAAGAACTCGCCACGGATTCGTGGGCGGCATTACCATCTATCTACTCAACGCACGCTGGATTGGAGACGCAACGCAACCAAAGTGAAGAAAGAAAGAAAAGGTTTTTCCTTTTCTTTTTCTTGGTGTTCCTGGGTGCGTGACTAAATTCTGATTGATCCCTCGTCTCGTCGTCCCCCCTACCCTGTGCGTGCCTATCTATCCCAATCCCTCTCGCTCACCACCACCACGCCGAGAGGTAGAGGAGAGAGAAAGAGAAAGAGGGGACACGCCAAATTGCCAACCGAGAGAGAGAGATTGTGGTGGTGGTGGTTGCGAACTTGCGATTGCTCGCAGATTACGAGCCGCAATCTCATCCTGCTTTGCTCCAGCCGATCAGCTGTATCACCTCCCGTGTGGCCGTAGCAATTTACCGTGCCGGTATGGGAATGTGTTTTTCTTACTTGCTCTAGCTATTTTTTTTAAGCGAATCGGTGAGCCGCTAATTTCATTGAATATAGAAAGAATAACTGTACAAAAGAAATAAGCTACACACGCACAAGATAGATCTTTTGGTTTAGACTAACTTGAAATTAAGCCAATCGCTGAGACTTCTCGCGCCGCCAAGGCCCATTGCTCTAACTTGAGCTTAGCCTACAAACGAAATTGCTATGGGCACACACGGATTATTGGAGTTTGAACTGCTTGTGTTGTGGGGAAACCACTGGTGGAAGTGAGGGGAACTGTAGGGGAGAGAGGGAGAGATTGAGAAGGAACAATGTAGCTATGTAAATGGAATATATTTGCTTTACTTTCTCGTTAGTGCGTAACTTTACCACTTGTCGGAATCCGCTACATATCGGGTATTGTTTTGGCTAGTTGCTGTCTGTGTTGCAAATTAGGAATTTTTGTTGAAAGAGAGTTAACGGTCGAAGATAGTCATTGATGATAAGTATAAGACGCTGGATGTGTTTGATTGGTTTCTCATACTTGTCTTTTTCGTGATTAGTGATTGTACTATGGTAATTTCTCATTACCTGTTTGAGATAAAATCGAGAAGAAACGATGTAGTTACATAAATAGAATATATTTGCTACTTTCTTCTTAGTGCACAACTTTACCACTTATCGGAATTTGCTACATATCGGCTATTACTTGGCTAGTTGTTGTCTCCGTAGCAAATTAGAAATTCACGTACTCAGTGAGTTATTTATCAGAGATAGTCATTGATGATAAGTATGAAGCGCTCGATTGATTTATCTTGCCTTTTTTATGGAGTAGTGATTGTAGTGTGATAACACCTTTTTGAGATATAAAAAAATTGATGTGCCTTTTACCACTTGTTGAAATTTGCTATATATCAGCTAATTAGTTGTTGTTCGTACACCAAATTAGCTAGGAATTATTGCTCTCGGAGAGTTACCGATCAATATTGATGATAATTAAGTATGAGATGTCAGGTGTGTTTGATTGATTTATCTTACTTACCGTTTTTATGGAGTAGTGATCGTATACTACGATGATTTCTCATCACCTTTCAGATAAAATCTAGTAAGTCTTTTTAAAGAGAAAAAAGAACTTGTGGTGTGTGATCAAATGGCGTCTAAACATTCAAGACAAATCCTTTTCTACACAATAAGTTACATATGCTATTGGTTCCCGCCAACATTTCAATACTAGATTATTTGTCTCTAATTTGTGAAAAGGAATCTACTGAAAAAGAAAATAACAGGTGAGAGAGCACATGTATTATTTTAGTGGAGCTAATTCATTTCATAACAATTTCAATGTCCATTCTCGCATAAATGCGGCATTTAATTTCGTATATTTGGAGAGGAATAAATCATGATCGAGTTGGTTAGGATCAGAGGACGTTAATATCATCCAATTTTAGTTGGTCCAGTTTGTACGAGGGACCACCGTTTGCCGAACAGCAAACAAGTTCAATTATACTTGTAGTATATTCCAACTGCAAAATGTACTATTATTTTTTTTTGCGGGGATGCAAAATGTACTATTAGTAGTACGATAATTAGGATTAATACCACCGTGAATATCTTTGCATATATACATGGACTTGGTTAGTTTTTTTTTTCATGCGGTTTGACTTCGTGCATCTTCTGCTCAACACACAGTAATGGACGCCTAAGGTTAAAAAAGATCTGTAGAAGCAGTCTGTCAAACATGACATCCAACTATCCGAGAAGCAAAGCAATGCTAGTACTCTGCTTTGACCAAAAGAAAAAAGAAAACGAAATAGTGACCATTGATCAAGGCAAAACCAGATGCAAAAATGCTGGAATACCAGTACAGTATATTTCAGTACTATATTATTATACTTCATCCATTTTAAAATATACTAATACAATTAAACAATATCGAGTGTAATGAATTTATATTCGTTGCAGTAATAGTTTAGTGTCTAAATATGGTGTTAGATAGGAGTAATTAGGAGTGGTAGTACAGTGCTGTATAAATTGATCTTTTTACAGGGAAACGAACCACTGCATGAAAAAGTGGGAGGAGGCCGATTAGAGCAGGTACAATAACAGGCTATAAGCCAGCTGCAAATATATTTTAAGGAGATAACTGAGGAGAGAGAAGGGTAGTGGGCTACAGATTTGTAGCCAGCTGTAGCACGAACTCCAAGACGCAGTGTGTGTATGATAGGTGGGACCATATATTAATAGTGTAGTATGTAACTATTGTATAAATGAGCTATTAGATTGGCTATAGATGAATTGGAGCTGGTAGTGGGCTATACTATTGAACTTGCTCTTATGGCGAGGAGTTATTACTGCTGCCGGTTGTCAAATTTGGGCCTTTTCTAGGTTGACTGACCGCTAGCAGCTACTCCTACTCCCTACTACTGGTCAGCTCACGCCGTGAACCCAACCAACCTGACGTCACCCCCCGTGCCACCGCCACTGCCACCTCCATCCCCACGTCAGAGCAGTGGGCCACTCGCTGCAGCCTTTTGGTTGGACGGCCGCCGGCCCAAGCCCAAACAAACCCCCGCGCGCCGCGCGACGGCGCGGAGTGGCGGTGGCGGTGGGTTTTTTTTCGCCGGGGGGAGCAAACCGCAGCAACCCACATGTCCGTCTCGCTCGCCGCCTCGCGCTCGCGCACGCGCACGCGTACGCGTAGGGCTCCATCGGCTACGCGCTGCTGCTGTGCTGTGGTGTGCTGTGGCAGACTGGGTCGAGGTCGGCGGATGCGCGTGCGCGTGCGTGTGATTCTTGTGACGGTGCGATGGATGGGGTCAGGTCAACACAGGGGACGCGTGTACGGGAGAGTCTCGGCCAGGCAGGCTAGGCTGCCAGGTGTTCCGTGTCTTCCCGCCTATAGATGGCAATGTACCCATAACCCGAGACCCGACGGGTTTTTACTCTATTAGGAGCCAATCATGTTCTAACTCTTATACCCATGGGTCTACTAACGGGTGGGTATGGGTCTGTTTTTTACCCACCCGTACCCACCAACCCGTTGGTAGAAAAAACCCGTTGATTGAATCTAAAACTATTAGTATTATAACTCTCAACGACTACTAAATCATAGCATAAAACTCCTTTCACATCTTAAAGCATTGCTTAGTCTAGTTATATGAAATTATTATTTGATTTCTTGATTATGTAATATGGTTGTATAATTTTTTTACTCGCCTTTGAACACTAATATTAATAGCATTGTTGCTAGAGAAAATATTGATAGTTTACAGCTCTAATATGGCTAATTATAGTACAAAACTATAAATATTACAAGTCAATTATATGGGTATGGGTACCCGTTGGATACCCGTTACCCGCATGGGTATGGGTATGAGGACAGTTTTGTACCCGCGACGGGTGTGGGTATTTAAGTGGGAGTATTTAGACATCGTGGGTGTGGGTATGGGGCAAGAGAACCCGATGTGTCGGGTGGGTGGAGTGTGTACTCCCTCCGTCCCAAAAAAAAAAGACAAACCCTGGTTTCCGTGTCCAACGTTTGACCGTCCGTCTTATTTGAAAAATCAATGAAAAAAATTAAAAAGACAAGTCACGCACAAAGTATTAATCATGTTTTATCATCTAACAACAATAAAAATACGAATTATAAAAAATCTCATATAAGACGAATAGTTAAAGTTGGACACGAAAATTCAGGGTTTGTCTTTTTTTTTTTGAGACGGAGGAAATATGTATCTACCAGTTTCATCAAGCCCCACGAATCTCGGAGTCGCGTTGCGTTGCACAACGGAGCACCACGAGGCAAATACTGTAGGCTACTACTACCTGCCCAGGAAAGAGTTGTGGCTAGAGAAAGAGTTTGTACTCAAAGTCTGAAAGGCCACATCGAAGGTTGGAATAATGGAGAAAGAGTTGTGACCAGAGAAGAATAATGGAGAGTGCCAAATATATACTATACTGAAAGGCCACATTACGATGCTAAACTGCTCAGGTGACTCGCTGACAGTAGTACTTAGGACACCTACAATGGTTATATATAGGCTCTCTACGAGAGATATATGTCAGCATATTTTCCTACTTGGAAGAGATTAAATGAAGAGAGAGAGCAAAGCTATCTACTAACCTGGAGATAGTCTATAGAGAAAAACGAGGCAATGGATTAGAGAGCTATAGATACCCATGTAGACATACTATTGAAGTGGTTTACTATTAATCTAGTATATTGCTGAGATGTACATGTTTTTATAGATAATACCTTACTTTACCATTGCGGGTGCTCTTAGTACTACTAATATGCAATTTATTGTGCTTGCACTTAGAGAGTAAGTTATTCCTGCAGGGGACGGGGCATTGCTTATCTTGCCAAGGAAAACAAAACATGCATGGAACACGTTAACAAAATGGACCAACCGAAGGACATGCGTGCGTGTCGCCCACGTGGTTTCGATGGGACCATCTCTTTCGGTGGAGAAGAAAGCCTAGTACAGTAGTACTAGTTCTTCTAAGTGCAAGTTTAATAGTATATCCAACTACTAGCTTCAAATCATCTATAGCCAATGTAATAGCCAATTCGTACAATAGTTGCTTACTATACTATTAATACCTGGTCCTACCTGTCATACACACATTACGTCTTAAAGTCCGTACTGCAACTAGCTATAGATCTATAGCCCGCTACTTTTCTCTCTCTTTCTTTACTTCTTTAAAATATGTTTATAGCTGGCTTATAGCCTGCTATTATCTACTCTAACACTACTATTCATTATTTGCTCCGCACGAGTACGGCTACACTAGTGTATTCGTGGAATCCGCTACTCCTACGTACCACTGAGCGTGTGATCCGCCGCCGTTTACGCCCAACGGTTCGTTACGCTTTACTACGGAGTATAAACAAA